ACAGAGACCATTTATTAGTCCTGCTCCCTAAAGTTTGACTGAATAGCCATTTTTCTGCTTCCTCATTAATAATTATAATAAGTAAACCGCACAAAGGAGGAGAAAAGAACTCAGCAAATCAAAACTTAGAAACCTGGAGAGGCCAGGGCAGTAAAGCATCCTGCCATGACTCACAGACCACGCGAGGTACCAGAGTCATGATTCTTCGTTTTCATGACCAGAATTCTAAAGGGAACAAAAATGGCACCAAATGAATCCACTCAATTAATGTGGATGACCAGATGGAAAGGAGTGAAATAAATAATTCCCTGAATCTGCCCTTTGTCACCTCAAGCTCCAAGCTGTAGGCCTCCCTGGAGAGCAAGGATCACAAAACAAAGCTTAATGTGACCAGTAATGTGGAGGGTTTGCTAACCTTCTGTCCTTTAGGCCCTGTGTGACAACAAGAAAAACGATTTTGCTTTCCCGGCTAGCCTTGCTCTTGGCAATGGCATTAGGCTTCCAGCAGTCTGAACCACTCACCACAGAGGTTCACCCCCACCCCATTAACTTTCTCTCCTTCATTCCTTTCTTTGTTTTCTTCTGTCTTTCTTTATCCTCATTCTCTCTCTTTCTGCCCGTCTCTCCCTTTCCCTCTCAGTGTGTGTGTGTGTGTGTGTGTGTGTGTGTGTGTGTGTGTGTGTGTGTATCTTTGCCTCTCTCTGTCTCTGTCTTCCTCCCTCTTCTCCCTCACTCTTACCTCTCTCCCAGTTTAAAACCTCTCTGTTTCTTTGAACCTCCTCCTCCCCCTCCCTGGGTTTTTTTTTTTGCTGATTTCCCCTGTTTATTACACAGTTAACACATTTATCCCTTGCTTTAAATACAGAAGGTACCACCGATGCCTATATTCTAACACAACACAATTACGGGTCAAAGAAACAGTTCCAAGCAACTGAATGACAAACAGCCCATTCCTCCCATGATTTTCCCCCTTCCTATTTTCTCATTCCAAAGTAGAAGCAGTATCTTTTTCCTTTTCCAGATTTCTTCCCTTCTGCTATGATTGGGCATCCGAGGGTGTTTAGACGCCTTCTGTAAGTATTCCCCCGAGGTGAAAGCTACAAGAACTCACTCTTTGTTTTTGAAAGCTTAGACCAGTTGGAAACTTTGGAACAACCACTTAGTGCCAAGTCTGCCCTTGATCTTTTCTTTACAACACATGGGGTTTACACTCTACAAGCCAGATTCGGTCCCCAGGGACCTCTGCTGGGGAACACAGGAAGAATTCTCTGGTCTGCAGGGAGTGATTTCCGGCCAGAATGCATAAACCATTGAGAACATCTCCCGTGGAGTCTGATGAGAGGAAGACAATCCATTACCCTGCAGGCAGTTGGCCCTGGTAGGAAGGACTGGGGACCCCGCCTCCAGTGACACAAATGGGAGCTGCATTTGAAAATCTCCTCAAGGCCAGGCTCTCTTTCCCCATGGTTTTGCATTTCTCAGAAAGCAATATAAAGAGAGATGGAGAACAGAAATGTAAATCGCAACCTTTAAGAAAATATATAAATCCAAAGGATGAATAAATGCCTTCTATTTCCATAGCTGCAGAAGAATCCTGTTAGTTAAATTAAGACAGAGTCCGCACGACTGCATAAAATCTTCCTGCAATGGCCAGATGAAACCAGCCTCCGCAAGCGACTCTCCAGGGCATTCTTCAAAGTGGAGCACAGGCTGGCTTTATCACCAAAGGATTTGACAAGAACCCAGAGAAAGGCAGAGGAAGCATGTTAAAGCCTCCTTAAAAGCAGAAGGCTGGGTACACACACAGAGCTGAGGCCCAGCAGCATTGAGCGAAGCCTGCAGACAGGTTGCCAGAGCCAACATCCGACACTCACATCCATTTGGTGAAAGGCAGATCTCCTGAGCCTTTAAATTCCAGAGCCATTGTAGCAAAGGACTAATAAAAGTGCTATGGAGGTTGGATTGTCCCTGAGAAGCAATGAGGCAGGATTTGGAAGGTATCTGTGCAAATGGAGGGCTCCACCTAAAGCTAAGAGAAATGCTAAGATTGTAAGAGTGGAGAGCCAACCCTTAGAAAAACAGACATGTGGTCCACAGACAGAGGAGGAAATAGAAATGGAACAGAAATATGCAGAAACATACCTGGGAACGATGGCAAGTCAAGAAAGTCATATCTGTGAAAGGTCAAATTTGTCACATAGGAGACAAGGAGACAGTGACCTAGAACACACAGGCATGTAGAACGGATGTTCTTCTCCACAGACAGACTGTTGGATGGCCTTCACTAGGAGATATTTTGGACACACACACCACACACACCCTAACACACCACCACCACCACCACCACCACCACTACACACAGAAAGTCTGGCAACATTTATCAGAATAAAAACAATCCGTTTATCATTTGAACCATAGTTCCTCCTCCTGAGAGTCACTGATAGACTTGTGCTCATGTAGAAGGCACACATGCACACAACAGCAAGGTTTTAATAATAGAGAGCAATCTATTAAAATTCTTTACAGTGATGTGTTTGCATACAAATGGAAAGATACATTACAAATTGCAAATAATGACTGCCTCTAGGGAGAGAGAATATTAAAAGTTTTTGATTGCACTTTGTAAAGTTTGAAATAGTTTAGCAAATAACTAGGTTATTGCTATTGTTGTTGAGGAAATGTGCAAGAAGATGGTGAGTGTGAAGAGTGTCCCACAGCACTTGTGCTTGAGTGGCTGAGAGTTTGGACTTGGGTGAGGCACTGTTCTCTTAGGAGCCATGGAAGGACAAGCTTTATCATGCATGTTCTTTCTTTCTGGAAAGTCTCTCATAGGAGAAATTTCCCTAGCCCTCATCTTTAATGGATGCCATGTGTGTATAGAAATGGTTTCCACGTTCAGAACCCTGTTTAAAGATCGATTTGACTTAAATGTTTTACCAGCTTTTGCTCCTCCAGAAAAAGCATTCATTTCAGCAGACATTGTTACAGACACATTTGCCCTATAGCCAGCTAGCATGTCCACTTGCGTCAACAAATATCTTCAATTGCTCGCTGCCTTTAATTGACCAGCTTACTCGGCAAAGCCTGCTGGGTGCTCAGCTTGGGAGTGTGTTTCCTGGGTTAAAAGCAAGAGTGACGACTAGCAGATGGGGAGGTTTCAGGTTTCCATATTGGAACAGCGTTTGGTGAAGTACTGAACTAAGGTTTTCCATTGAAAATGTGGTGTCGGCGTTACGTCAAGAAATAACTCATTTGTCCAAACATCAACCACGGGCAAACCTGGCTGTCTACCGTACTGCATGGCAGAATTTGAAAATGGTAGAAATGAATTGAAAAAATGTCTCAAGATGAGTGGACTATTACAGAGCCCCGAAGAAGCACAAAGAAAAGCAACAAGTGGCAGACATGTGCTGACTATTGCCAGAGGGAACCTCTGTGATATCCGTCGGTCCTTGATTTCACCTACAAGTGTAGGCCAGCACATGAGTCAGATGCAATTCTGCACCCTACCACTATCGGTGTGGACTCCATGTTCTCCCCTTTATCATTGTCCAAGCAGAGACTTCTGGGTTAAAGGAACATTTTCATTCCACTCTGACAGCAAGGAGATGTCCCATACCTGGCCAGGTTTACCGAAAACAGTCTAGTTCACCACTGTTGTTTCTTTTGTAATTACTAACAGTGAACAGTGGCCTTTTCTGTCCCCAACATGTCTTTGTTCAGATGACGACGTACATGGCTGCCCTCATGAAAAGTAAATCTCTGGGAAGAGTGGGACATTGGAGTCCCTTGGACTGTGACTGCCATGTTGAAGTGTTTTTTGAGTGGAGATTTTTAAAGTTTTCTTCTATTTTAAAAATGTATTTTGCTATTTAAAAATAAACTTTCAAATGCATAAAAACATCACATACCAAAATTAACCAGTCTCAAAGGCTATCCAACTCAATGAACTATGCAAGTCCTTTATCTGTGAACTACTCATGCTTCTATCCCAGGTCTTGTTATGGACAGAAAATGATGCTGTAGGGCGTTCTGCTTTCCTCTCTAGATTCAGCTGGGCCTGGGGCCCTCTACAACCTCCATTTAATGCTTGTTTTGTTTTGGGAAATAAGCACCACAACTGGAAATTAAAGCCACACAACTCTGAAAATGAAAACCTCATTGGAGACATGCTACATGTCACATGGAAATATCCATTCTCAGTGAGGTACACAGTATCAACAACAGACCTCAGTCAAGGCATGCCTTCAAAGGGGGCAGGAGTGGGGATTGCAGTCTCCATCTAGCAGATGAAAATTGTAATGCTCATCTAACGCAACGATTTTCTCATCTCCTATGGAAGGCCCTCATTATCAACACCACCATCACTTTGAGCTGATATCATGTTCTTTGCCTCATGTGTGTCAAAATTCATAGGCATTCCGGGTTGCAAAAGGAGTTTTGGTCTTCCATCTGTCTTACACGTCCTTGTCCACCAGCATAAGAAAAACATACACAAATGCTACTTAAAACAGCTCTATTGCCTCTCAAAATAGCAGTTGGTAGAATAATAGAAACTGAAATATTACTGATAGAAATCAAGCAGACTTTCCTTCTGACCCCACTCTGCATTTCTCACAAAAAAGGAAGCCATTTTTATCGATTTACCTGAAGTCTATTGTGTGCAGCCCTGTGTTCTGTGACAGACTTCCAAACTAGCCACAAGTGACCTTGACCTCCTGTATTTATTGCCTTATAATAAATAATCCCCTTCCACAGAGTATGAGATGGACCGTATGACAAAGGTGGAAAGGGCACTTTGTGACCTGTTAACGAGATTGTGACTTCCACTTTGGTAGCAGGCCTAGTTATTGGCTGACGATGTAAAGCAAACTTCTGAGAAGCCTCCAGCTGCTATCGGTAAGGAAGCTTCCAGCTGCTATCGGTGAGGAAATCAAGCCTTCCGTCCAACCAACTATGAGGATGGGAATTTTCCCACCAAGTTCATGAATGAGCTTGGAAGTGTATCCTTGCCCAGATGAGCCTCTTTCAGCATCTCAGCTCTGGTTAACACTGACCCCAGCCTGGGGAGGAGACCTGAAGCAACTGTCCCTAGATTCCAGACCCAGAGAAGGTAACAGAACACATGTGGGAAGGTGAAGTCTGCTGGGCTCTGGAGTCATTGTGGGTATTTAGGTAACTATTGAGTCCGATACATTACTGGGAACACCACCAAACTCTTCTGAGCCTGTTTTCCTTCCTGCCCAGATATAGTGTGTGTTCCGTGTGTGACCAAAGTAGATGTGACACAAAGAACTTGGGAGACATGATGGCAAGGAGTCTATCTTACAAAAACACTTGGCAGGTTTTGCTTAGCCTATGACAGCTCTTGGTGTGGAAACATGGCTCAATCCTTAAAATTCTTGCTGTGTACGTGCAAGGACCAGTGTTCACATCTCCAGAATTCACATAAATGCTGAGTGGGAGTAGTGGCCCACCAGCAATTCCGGCTTCAAGAGTCAGAGATAGGGTATCCCCCAGATTAAGCTGGCTAGCAAGACTAGCCGTATCAGTAAGCTCTGGGTTTGATCAAGAGAGCCGGCCTCAGTGGGTGGGGCAGAGGGTGGAGGATGCTTGCTTCCCATTGTCAACCTCAGCTCTCCGTGGTAGATTTTAAATATGGGTCTATTTACTGTCCTTTCTTGCTGTCTTCTTCTTTTTATTTCTTTTTTTTTTCTTTTCGAGGGTATATTCACAGATTGCCTTAAACTCTGGTCTGCTTTTTAAATGGAAGACAGTCCACTTCAGCACAGAGGCCGCTTAGCTTTTCAAGCCGTTCTCACCCTTTCTTGTTTTAAGTACAGCCTGACCCATGGGTGTCTCTGCAGCTTTGGAGGGTTGTCAATACCTGCAACTGCGTTTGATATAGGGAGTCCTGTGTCCTGCTGCCTTCCAGGAGAGGAATGTGCACGTTATGACCACAGCTCACCTGGTTCCAGTGCAACACCTGGTTTTCATCTAAAGGATAGGCACACGTGGCCTGGCCCGCTGGCTGCATTTCCCATTACCTCCCTCCGCTTCCCTGTGGAACATTTTCATAAACCTGCAGGTCATCTCCAGGAATCTCTTCTGCTAAAACACCACACTTCTGTTGTTCTTGCCTTGCTTTCCTGAGGATCTGACTTTGCTTCATTGTCAACAAAACATGGAGTTTTAGACTGTTAAAAAAATGTCTTTGAGGCTAAAATTACAGGCATTGTGGGCTCCAGGAGGGGCCATCCTAAAATTTTACCCTCACTACTTTTAACATCCAAAGCAGGGGATGGAGAAATGGCTCAGGGCTTAAGAGCACTTTCTGCTCTTACGAAGGACTGGTGTTTGCTTCCCAGCATCCATGCTGGGCCACTCACAATGGCCTGTCACTCCAGCTCTGGGCCATGGTACCCTCTTCTGGCATCCATGGGCACTTTGCACACATCTGCACTTACGCACAGAGATGTTCATGGATGTGTGACTGGTCTGGGAGGGAGGAAGATGTGCCTGAGATACACTCGTGTCTCTCAATGTATCTGAGTGTTCAGACAGTGAACCCTCAAGAAATTCCCCCAACGGATTCCCCAGGGCATTTCATGCTGGGAGAAGAAAGTGGGGATGAGAATTCACACAGCTCTAACAGCTGGTCACATCACCTTACAAGATGAAGCTAAGACCTAGACAATGATGAGTCAGTGGATGGTGGGATCACACCATGCTGCAGACCGCTTAGATGTGCACATCCTCGGCTTTCTATTTAAACACTGATGTCACTCCAGGACATCAGGTGGGGGGGGTGCCAGGTCTCTCTTCCCAATGTGATCATATTGAATAGATCCCCTTTTGAGGCTTCCCACTTTTAATGGCTTCACCGAAGACACAAGGTTGGACCTGGCTAAGGACATGAGCTGTGATTCCCCCCAAGTTGGATCATGCATGACATATTTAAAGATTTAAAAAACAACTGATTGCTGCATTGCTTTATTTTGCAGGGAATCACTCACACGGTAGAAGAGGCAGGCTTCTATCTGCAGCCTTGTTGCTTTTGTCCCCATGACAACCTCACAACACTTAGCCCCAAACAGTTAGCTGGGGGGAGAAACCCTGGTTCAGCAGAGTAGATAAAACAGCCGACTTTACTTACATCTGGCTTTTTGGTTTTCTGTTATGGCTCGTTGACCTGTAAGCTTGTTCTTATGATGGTACTGCCGAAGGGACTCATTTGGGTTTAAACAGCAAACAGAAATAAATACTGCATAGAAGTGTCTCCATTTGTAAGCACAATATAGGGAAAGTGATAACAAAACCATATTTTATAGCATCATTTCTGTCTCTCTTTTTATTACTTACCATTTCAGAAAATTCCATAATTTACCCAAACCTAGGGAGACAAATATCACATGTTCTCACTCATGTGTGGAAACTTAGTATCAAATCTTTAGATTTGTGTGTTCTAACACAGAGTGCCTACAGAATACAAAAGAAAAAAACTATAAAGGGAACCTTGGTGTGGAGGGAGAGGTTCTTAAGTGAGGGGGTAGTGGAATACAGGAAATATGAAGGAGAAAGAGGTGAGGACGGGGAGTGAGTTTAAGTGAGGGGAAGCTGGGAGGGTAGTTCAGAGGAGGAAGTGAGGGGAGAGACAGCTAACAGGAAGGATGCTGTGTGGAAACTATTACTATACAGACTCTTACACATCTACATGTCCACACACATTATGTCTGTGAAGAGTTTAATTGGAGCTATCCTACACAGGGATGATGGCTATCTCAGACACCACGGGGCTCCAGAGGAAGTGGCAGCGTCAGGTGTGGGACACCTCCCTTTCAGTTGCTAGACATGGGCATCCTGGAAACGCGTCTCCCAAAATGTGCAAGCTATTCCTATTGCTCCTGGTTGCCCACCAGAAACTAATGCTAAGACACGACACGGCTGCTGACGACACCGCACACGTTGGTCACGGGGCATGGGGACATCAAGTTGGCACTAACCAGAAAGCTTCCTCCTCCCTGATGGCTAGCTTTCATAGATAGAACTGGTCGGTGTCGTCTCAGGGTGCTGTGGTGGGATGACCTATCAACCGCTGTGAGCCCTGTGAACTGTAGTGATGACCAACAGTGCATGATAAGCCCATGCTATGACAGCAATGCTATGAGGGTCACCAACCACTTTCTGATTGGATTTAAGGCTGACTCCACAGGAAGAAATGCATGCTTGGTACAGTAAATCTGTCCAAGAACCTGGTTATGGAACTTCCAGGGGTGATCCAAGGCCCCAACAGACAGTTGTGAGTGGCCTAACATGGGTGTTGGGAAACAAACTCAGGCCCTTTGTAAGAGCAGAAAGTGCTCTTAAGCCCTGAGCCACTTCTCCATGCCCTGCTTGGGATGTTAAAAGTAGTGGGGGGGTATAGTTTTAGGATGTCACCTATTGGAGCCCACAATGCCTACAAGTTTAGCTAAATCGATGTAGTTACAAATGACCCTCTAAATTCGTACCTCTATACCCACAGACTAGTGCAGTCTCAGACCTCATTAGGGGAGTTTCTTTACACAGTAGAGAATTAATTCAAAAATTCACAACTTGTCAAAGTTCAGAGAGTAAGTGTCCCTGAAGTGCTCAGCCCCAGATGGGACAGATAGACATACACCCTCCCCAGGGCTTAAGGACCATCATGGATGAAGGTGTGAAAAAATTATACTAGCCAGAGGTCTGGAAAAACCAAAACACAGCAGTGTCCTCTGGACATGACAGTATCTCTGTGCTCAGGAATTCACAGCACTTGTGTTTGCCTGAGTAATATCGAGTCAATGAACTTTCCAGCACAGCGTGGGGAGAGCCCCTGCCCTCAGAGCCCCTGCCCCATTCCATCTCCCCCTCCTTGTACTGAGGAGTTATTGAAAACTGATAGCTTCTGGGAGACAGACTCAGTGTGTGGCCCCAGGTAGGTCCACCACACTCCAGTGGATGACCCCACACTCTTGAGTGTAGGGGCAGCACAAATTGGTGGGCTTAAAACACAAAAGCAAAAAACGATGGGAGGACACTAACCAAGCTAGCAGAGGACAGGAAGTTAGAGGTGGATCCAGCAGGAGTTGGGTTTAAGAGTGGGGGTGAATGTGATCAAAATACATTGTATACATTACTTAGACTTCTCAAAGACTTAATAGAATTATTATAGTTTTTTAAAGCTTCTTCTTGGTCTCCCTGCAGGGCCCTTCAGGGTATGGATTAATATGTTAGCCCATTGGATCAGGAGCTTGAGAAGTGGCTGAAGGTGGCAGAAGAAATGTTCTTGGCATTGATGCACCTGCTACTCACTCATCTTCACCAGTGAGAAGGAGGCTGCTGACGATAAAAGCACTTCGCCACCACACCAGAGGTTGCTGGATGGAATTCAGTGGAAAGCCAACTGCTGAGGGCAAAGCCTGTTAACACTGGGAACTGCTGCCCTTTGTGACCACCTCTAGTATAAGGTCAGAAGCTGAGCGTGACTCTGTGGCATTTCATGAAGTAGAAGAGTTTCCACTGTAGGGCGTCTCAGAGATGAGCTCAACTGAGCCACCTCGTGATTGCTAAGTGACTTATTCAAGGTCAGAGCACTGCAGGTGAACGAACCGCATGGTGGATCACAAAGATCTAACGAGAAGGTGGAAAGACGACCAGAGCCAGAGACCACCGCTCAGCACCCTGTCCTCCTGACTGCTCCTGGGAATGGCATGCAGATGCTCAAAGTTCATGAATGCATTGGAGGCACATCTCTCTGCACGCCTCTTACATTCTTTCTGCCTCCTCTGTGTGTGTGTGTGTGTTATAATAAACAAGTCCCGTTTAGAGCTGAGTATTTATTCTCCAATTCTCAGCACTTGACCATGTCTATCTATATCTCCATTGATTTCCATCCCCTGCAAAAAGAAGTTCCTCAGACCATGACTAAAAGCAGCCCAAGTCTACGGATATAAACACAAATGTTTAGAAGGCATTTGATCACTTGGAGGACGTGCACAAGATCGAGCCGGCCAACATGCCAGCATGGGTGGGAAGGGCACGTTCTAAGTCCCACCCCTCACTAATGAGCTACTGGCAGTTGAGAGCTACGGGGACAGAGAATCATTCTTTCTTGAGGGCACACCCACTGGTAAGTTTCCTGTACACCAGTGGGTTGTCCCACACCCATACCCACACACAGGCAACACTAATCTACCTTAGAAAGTTCAAAAACAAACAAACAGACTTGAAGTTGACATGTTATAGGGGTACAGGGAGTTGGAGGTGGAAAAGGGGGTAAAGATGAACATATTTTATTTCATATGTACATGAAATTATCAGAATAAAGGAAATTGTAATTTAAAAAGCATGGAGCATAAAGAAGCTAGTCAGAAAGATATGGCCCATTAGATGGTAAAAGGATTCTGGAGCATCTGGCTGTCTGGGAGGAGACCTGTTTCGCTGCCTCCGTCTAACGTGAAACCTTGCAGCATCAAAAACAGAGCAGATATCTGTGAGTTCAAGACCATCCTGGTCTACAGGGTTAGTTCCAGGACAGCCAGAGCTATGCAGAAAAACCCTGTCTTGAAAAACAACTAACTAAATAAATAAATCTGAGGCTCACAGTCCCTTCATTACTACACTCAGGGGAGAGCTCCCATTAGCATTTAAAGAAAGCCAATCTGCCATCAAATCAAATCTAGAGGTGAGCTTTCCTGTTCCTTGTGGCCGCCTCAGGGACCATCCAACTGCCGTCGTGAAGTAGCACCCTTGCTCTTATCCAGCACGGTGCTGCTTTGGCACAAGTTCAGTCACAGCATGGCCAACTGGCCTCCCAAACTGTAGGCCGACAGAAGCATTCTCACCGCCTACGGCATGGCAGAGGGCATCACATGGTGGATGGAAACAGCCTACTACCCTGGTCTCTTCTCCTCATTTACGACTACTAAGGCCCCACTCTCCCAACTTCCCAAACTCTAATTACCTAAGGGTCACATCTCATGCCATCAGCATGTAAGTATGGAAATTAAGTTTCCTTAATCTTTTGGGTGTGGGGGACACACGGTAAAACAACAGCAAAAGGAATTCAAGTGGGACTATCTTAGAAGAGCATTGCAGAACCGGGAATGGCTCTCATCAGGAAAAGAGGCCGTGTGCTCGGACCAGCCACCACAATGCACACCACAAGAGTGACTGACAAGACACTGCCTGGTTCTTGTAAGCCTAATAAGTTTAATTAGAATTACTGTGGTTTTACAACTGCATTAGAAAATTACTTGACACTCTTTATTCTGCATGAATGTCCAGCAAATTAAGTTTTCTATCCAAGTAAAATGTGTATGTGCCTGTGCCTGTAGCATGGGTAAAGAGTGTTCAGAACTCTCGTATGAGTCTGTGCAACTGGCCCAAACTGGAAACAACCCAGGTGTTCATCCACAGTAAAAATCTGTGCTGTGCTGAGCAAGGGAAGCCCTGGGCTGGTGAAGCCCCAAGAGATTGTGTATTGTTTCACATGAGCTGGCCACGCCAAGGACCAAGGTATCGGGCCCATGGGAAATTGGCAAAGCCTTTCCCCACACGGGTCAGACCTGAAATTGGCAAAGCCTTCTTTCTTTGGTGCAAGAATGAGTGTTTATTAACGACTGATCAGTGTGTACCCAAACTAGCAACTGCAGGTGAGTTGTCCTCCTCCCAAGACTGCTCACCTACGGAGACCTCCTACTGAGACCAGCCTAAGTGCTGAGGTTCTCAGTTGCAGCAGTGATTGGCGAGGCTCCGTCAGAGGTGTGCAGTCTGCCTGACCCCAGCTTTTCTGTTCCTTTGTCTTCGTTTGTCCTGTCTCCATTCCCTCACTGTCCTAGTCAGGTTTCCAGATCCAAGCTGCACAAGTCACGGCAATGTACCGTGGTCCATCCAATTGAGTGAGTTTCCCTCCAGAACTGAGACTGTGCTCTTTCTGCACACCGGCACGCATTAGGACCGTGTGCTCTTTCTGCACACCGTATGTATGTAGGACCGCGTGCTCTTCCTGCACACCGTATGTATGTAGGACCGCGTGCACTTTCTGCACACCGGCACGTATGTGGGACCGTGGGCTCTTTCTGCACACCGGCATGTACATACCCGGAGAAGGGCAAGCCCAGTGACCTCATTTCTGTCCAATATAAAAGCTGAGCTGCGCTGTTAGAAACTGACTCAGTTTCTCTTTGGAGTAGAGCTTGGATAAGAAGGTGGCTAGGGACCTGTGCAGTGCTCGGTGGTTTTCTATTTCTGGATGCAGGATCTGGTTGCCTAGGAAGCGTTCACTGTAGGAAAGTCACCACCAATCTATAAATTTTCACTTCTGTATGTGCACTATACTTCCCTGCAGTGCTTTTCATTTGAAATTAACTACTCCCTGGGAGCCCACGGGGCACTTCAGTCAGGGAAACAGGCAGGCTGGCCGCAGATCTTCACCTCTCCTCAGCTCCCCCAATCTTGCCCCCAGCTCTGTAGCAGAAGAACACTTGCTGCAGACTCCTTTCCCCCCCACATCTCCAGTGGATCCCACAGATCTTCTCCTCCTGTCTTCCTTTTACCAACCATGTTTTAGCCCAGCTCCCAACCTGTCAGGCACTCCCCGGGAGCCTACAGGCCACTACAGCCAGGGAGCAAGGAGGCTGACTACCAATCATCACCCCCCCCCATTCCTCAAGTCCAGTCCCCCACTCTCGCTCCAAGCTCTGTATGGAGCACCTGCTGTGGCCCCTCATCACTCTCTGCCCCACTCCCAGGGGACTAAGTAGATTCTGGTGGAACACCCTGCTCTCCTCCCTCCTGTGGACAACCTCAACCCCCTCTGGCCCATCCCTATTCCTAGGTGTCAGCTCCCAAAACCAAACATAGACAAAGCCAAATATCAGCACCTAGATTTACAATCTTCCTCAACCCAGGTGCCTGGTTGCCCTCACAGAAACACAATTAACAAGAGCCGGCACAATATGTCTCTCCTAGAGTCTGGAACCCTACCACTTCAGGCCCTGAGTGCTAGAACACAGACGAAGCACAAGGAAAAGACCTTAAAATAGCTTTTGTGAATATGATTGATGTCCTTAAAGAGGGCCTGAGAAAATCTTTTAAAGAAGTAGATGAAAACATAAACAGTAGAAAGAAGTTAATAAAAAAAATTTCATCACTTTAAAGTGGGAATAGAATCAATAAGGAAATCCCAAAATGAGGGAGAACCAGAAATTAACAAATTTAGGAACTCAACCAGGAACCCAAGAGGCAAACCTCATCAACAGAACACAGAGAAGGAAAAGAGAGTCTCAGGCACTGAAGACACAACTGAAAAAATAGGACAAAGAAAACGTTAAAACTAAAAAATTCCTTACACAAACCATCCATGAAATCTGGACCTCTGTGAAAAGACCAAATATATGAATAATAGGAATAGAGGAAGGGGAAAGGCCAAGGTCAAAGGGACAGAAAATATTTTCAACAAAATCATAGAATTGTTTTCCCTAACCTAAAGAAGGAGATGTCTATGAAGGTACAAAGAGAATACAGAACACCAAATAGACTGGACCAGAATAGAAAGTCCCCTCCGTACATGTAAAGGGAAACATTTTCCTTGAGAGAAGCCTTCCTGCCAGCCTGGTTCTAGAGCTGCATCAGTCCCAAATAAACACACAGGAGGCTATATTAGTTATGAAGCTGTTGGCCTTGCTTGTTTCTTACTGGCTAGCTCTGACTTAAGTAATTACCCCATAATTGTTAATCTAAGTATGTCTCTTACCGGAGAATAGTTCCGGGCTTCCTACCCCATGGCGTTACATCTTGACTCTCTGTGTTTCTCCTTCCCAGAGTTCTCCTGGACTCCTAGTCCCACCTATCTAGATTCCTATTGGCCCAACAGTGCTTTATTGACATAATCACAGGACTTCCCACATCACGTACATAATAATCAAATATACAAAACAGAGAAAGAATATTATAAGCTACAAGGAAAAAAAGATAAACTAGCATATAAAGGCAGACCTGTTAGAATAACACCTGACTTCTCAATGGAGCCTCTAAAAGAGCCAGAAGGACCCAGACAGATGTTCTACAGATTCTAAGAGACCACACATGCCAGACCAGACGTTTATACTGAGTAAAACTTTAAATCACAATAGATGGAGAAAGCAAGACGTTCCATGATACGTCCAATTAAGCAATATCTACCTATAGTTGGTTGCTCTCCACAAACTGACAGCAAAGCCCCATTGCTGAAGACAACACCTATACAACTCATACATGGAGACATTTGAACTTATACATAGAACCTTCACTCCCATGTTCTAGCATCTTTAGAAGAGGAAGGTACTCTGAAGGCTATTAAAGGTAAAACATAAACACTAACCCATTCACAAAACCTTTGATTCTTGGTGTCCTGTCTGTAAGATATGCTAGGGCAATGCAACTATAGTAGCACAAACCTGGTGGGGGCAACCAACCAATGTCTGATTTGACTTAAGGCCACTCCATGAGCCGGAATCAGTATCCAACACTGCTTGGGTGACCAAAAACCTGAGGCTAGATAGCCCAAAGACCTAATGGGAAAACTAATTGCAAGCATTGTTTGCTAGAAAATGTATTGTGAAAGTAGTGGTGGTGACCACAATATCAGGACAATTTCATCGCATAAAGTACTGTGAGAACCAAAGGGTGCTTCTTAATATCAATAAAAGACTGTGAAGGTTACCCACTGGCCCATGCCTCAGGTCAACCAGCATCAATTGAATAAAGTATTTAAAGTAGGAAATTGGTAAGTATTTAGGGTACGTATGAAACACACGTCACATAAGTGTCCCATTGTAAACACA